TGCTTCCTTTATTTCTTTAATTAAGTACTAACTTATTGTTAGGCATAAACTAAAACAAGCAAATACTAATGTACTGTATGTACCTATAATTAAACTTCACAGACCTATTTTACTTATACCAAACTCCAATCTACACATGAAATTAGATTGGCTGTTCGTATAGAAGTTGGAAAGTTGTTGTTGGCCAAACAAACTCAAATGAACAAAGAGCATAAAGGTCAATTATATTTTATATAAGATTGGTTATGTCTAATAAACTGGTTTTAAAACATTTATGCCATAAGCTTACACTGACATTGTTATTGGTGTTGATCAAAGAATATCTTCAATAACTTCTGACTGCATCACGACGTCAGATATTGTTTAAATCTATAATACATAAGAGTATCGTTCGTTCAATGTGACAGAAGGTAAAAAAGATTTATCAGGTTCGATTTTGGGACATGAGAGTTTTTAATCAGATTTGGATCTGATAGACGATACAGAGGTTGAGGCACCGCGATGAATAATTGAATAATTTTTATGGTAATAAAATCTTGGGGTTACCACACTGTACGAAAAATTAGGATAACTCCCAATTCGTTACGGAACAACGCCGACACGGAATGACTAAACTTTTTTTATAACTCACTTCCAGACATTTCTAGAATTTTGCATCTACCATTCTGGATTTGTTATTGGTGAACGTAAATTTCTTTGTGAATTCCCGAAAAACTACATAATTTTCAATTTTCCCAAGACATCGTTACATTTCCGCAGTATAGGTACTCGTACCTAGTTGCTGCAAATTTTAAGAACACCTTTAAATATTGTAAAAGCAAAGTCAGGAAGAAATCTGAAAAATAAAAATTCTATCACAAAATCATGGAGCTTGTAAATAAAAGCGCGCTGGTACTGGCGACGTCACCCACTACCCCGATCTGATAAAGGGTTGTTCGTATCGCATTCGACACGACAGCGAACGATCGCTTTCCGATAACGCCCGCCGATCACGTAAACCCGAGATTTTCTTTTTTATTTGTTTTTACTTTAAAAAACCAACTACATCGAGACCAGTAATCATCCGCAAATGCATATTTTGGCTGATAATTACAATAATCCACGGAATTAACTTGTGATAATTTTAGGGAAGATAGAAAACACCTAAAACAGCCGTACTGGTGTAAAAATCACAAACTTATGCGGCGGTTATATGAAGTAAAAAAATAAAAACGGAAACAAAAAAAAAAAGATCACGTAACGAATGAATTCATGTCGTTGCAATGTGTGTCATTTATGGATTCATACATCCATACACACAACGACATAGACATGTCACAAAATTTGGCTTTATACAACACTATGCGCTGTTTACATTGAATAAAGCAAACAACAAAATGTGATCTAAGCACGCCAAATAATATAATTGTTCATAGTTGATGGGTTTCTAGGGCCTTCATTGAAAACTGGCTACAGCATCTATTAATACAATACTAACATTTCGGTTTATATAGGCTATTTCCCACCTCTGTTGGAATATGTTATTAACATAACAGGTTTTAGGCACAATATATCTCACACTCGTATTACAACAAAACTATTGTTTACCCCTTGAAATCAATATCCAAATGTACATTCGCAATTTCAACAAACAAGACTGTCCTAATGTTTTTCTAACCACATTCATTATTTTTGTCTCCTTTCGTAAAAACCTGAGGCTAATGCGGCAGGGTTTTATTACTTCCTCATCTGATATGATTGGCGGCGATGCGCAGTGACGGCGGCGTGAATGCAAAGCTTTAGGCGTACCGCTTTCTAAGGGCATCGCGTTACACCGCGCTTTGATTCGCACTTCTTTCAAGACTTGAGAAAACTGATTGGGACCGCCTTTCAACCTACCGCCACATGAGAACTTTTTGCTGACCTCCTTTTTATTTTATTTAAATTTGCTCCAATATTTGTCGACAGGTATTTTAGCCAAAAATTAAATTGAATACGTGACGTGAATCTTGCTTCTTGATCGTCGCATCAATTTTTTACTCATAGTTCCGCACTAGGGAAACCCTGTATCGCGGGTGCCATGGACATTCTCTCGGCCCGGGAATCGAAGCCCAGTCAGTCCAGGGTGGTAACCGATCGGCGACGGAGGTAGTTTTGAAATGAGTAGAAGGCAGTAGAGCTCCTGGTGAGAGTTTGTCCAGGGAAGTACTGCTATCTTACTTATTTCTGCGTTACTGTATTCCAGTTTCTTCCCGACTAAAAAAAAGGAGGAGGTTATACGTTCGGCTGTATGTATGTCTTCAGATATCTCCGTCAATTATGGACCGATTTTGAGAATTCTTTTTTGTTTCAAAGGGTACAACCTCGTGGTGGTCCCATTGTCACCAAGTCAGAACCTGGTGAGGGGATCCCATGAAAATCGAAGGAAATCCTCAAATTTTATAGATATGTCCGTGTATTCACCATGGAGAAATCTCCATCAATTGTGCACCGACTTTAAAAATTATTTTTTGTTTGACAGGGTATACTCTCGAGGTGGTCCCTGATGCTTTTCCGGGTTTGTTTCGGCTATCACAAATTACTAATTATTTTCCGCAAATAAAAGTCGCCTTTTTGCTTGACACAATACATTTGATCAACAAATCACCGTAATCATAAACAACCAGAAGAGAAAATACAAAATGTACAAAGGAGTAACAAGTAACTGTACTTATATTCCCATTAGGTATATTATATTTATGGGACTATTGCAACTGTAATGGACAAGTGTGTCGCTTACCACCAGGCGCACGACTTTTTCGTCCTGTCACTGGGTTTCATAAAAAAAAATATCATGTTCTCATTTTATTTGAAATATATAATTGGCTTCTATACGCATTGTGTTGTATACGTTGGTTTTATATACTATCATTAGGAAAGTCGTAACAAAAGTCAGTCTTGGCGTTGTTAATATCGAAATTCACGGAATGATTCTTTGCTATTCGACTTTTGAAATGTATTGAAGCATTATTCGTTCTACGTGGCAGCGTCCCAAGAGGTACTTTGTAAATTGAAACGCACAGACATTGACAAGTTTTCAAGCCCGCCCGGGCAACCTCTAAATGGAAATGACAAGCCTAATGTAACAACTGAAACATTCCGTCGGCCTAACAAAGCATTCATTTTCTGATGGCGGTAATCTCGCCGAAGGGCGGCATTGTTCGTCATTTTCTCTACCGCTTTTTTTTCGTATTTTCTTTTCTAGAAAAGAATAAAAATACAGTATTGTCGACGCCGACACTCGCGCCGTGATCGCGCAAAAAGGAGCCCCTGGATGACAACGAAATGACGGGAGCGTCCGCGGGTGGCCTCCCTCGCCCCCCTCTTGTAAAAATGTCACCGGGGGAGGGGCGACTTGCCTACAACAAGACGGCATTTTTACAAGCTACGACCGAACCGACAAATCCTATCCACCAATTTTAAATCAACACAAATTGGACCGTCGCACAACGCGTGAAGAGCGACAACGGTGCGTTGCTCTGAAACTTGACTTTTTAAAACACAAACTTGTGTTTGCAATAAATCGATAAGTATATACGTACTTACTAAGAGCCGAGGGTACAAATTGCAGGGATTTTACAGTTGTTTGTGCTGACAACCCGAGGGGAGGGGCGTTAGCGGTTTCCGTGGACTGTTTTAGGAAATATTAAATTTTGGTTCTTGATTCGACGCTGCTTCGCCTCCGATGGCAATTAGGCAACGGGTAAAAGGCACTCAACGGGATTCTGCGAGTTTTTGTTTACAATTCCACGATAGATGAGCAAAATGTTACTTGGCGCCATTATGTTTGAACACGATTTTGCTATGGATTTCTGCTTTCGGAGAACTTGAGACGCATTGTAATACTTATTCCGAGAGTACGAATTTCTAAGATTCTGAATAAAGGTAGCGAAATCGACGAACCAGACTAAAAAGACAGAACTCCATGCTCTGATTTACATAATTATCTGTACACTTCACGCATTTGCAACAAAGGTTTATTAGGTATCTACAGCACTTACATTTCAATAACCACTTTAATGTTTTATAAGTAGGCACACACATTCATTTTACAACTCATTTCCGTCTCTTTTATAGCAATACAGCCTTCGGCAGACTTTGTGTTAAAATTGGACCCTCTCGATATAGTTATTTATACATATTTAATTTATTTGGAATAAACATTTACCATCTTTCCAGAAAGTAAACATGAAGACGTTCCGGAAGCAGAAGCAAATCTAAACGTGTATACAGACACTTGTTGTAGGTACCAGTAAATACTTTGGGTTTTGGATGAGGACCCGTTCTCGGGTTTAGGAAATCGACCTTTCATCATTTAACAGTAGAGCCCCTTGTGAAAGAGTTCGTCCAGAGAAGTAGCTTCGCAGCAGAAATAGGTAAGGTGCTTGCCTATTTCTGCCGCCAAGCAGTAATGTGAGCATCACTGCGTTCCGGTTTTGACAGATAAGGGTGCTGGTGAGACTTATCAACTTATTTTAATTATTTAATTTAATAAACTATAATGACCACAAGACATAACTGTACAAAAGGCGCACTTAATGCTAAAAGCATTCTGTACCGGTCAACTTTTACGAAAAACTAAATTCACCAACGCGGCAAATTATTATATTAATAAATTATATATTACATATTATTAATTATATTATATTTATATATAATGTATAGTATAAATAATATTGTCTCAGGATGACGAGCGCAGTGGCGGTTGCCCTCAGATCTTTGCGGTTTAATGCTCTCAGTGGCACTGCAACTGTTATGGTTAGACGTGACGCTTTCTAACAGGCTCACGACTTATTCGTCCCGTCTCTTAGTATCATAAAAAAAACCTTTCGATTTGCTTTTAGTCTGGGTGTTGCGCATAGTGGCCCCGGAGTGAATTTTGTTGTTTTGGTAACATTATACACGGAATTCTCTAGTTTGAGACCAGGTAATTGGTATGATTATCTGACACAATTCCACAAGTTTTTGCATTTTTGTTACAGACCGTATAGCGCAATCCCATACACAAGACGTCTTATCACAACATCCAGAACTGAACAGCGTTAACGGGGCCGCGGACTACATCGCCAGTCCACAAAAGAATACCACTCCTGTCAAACTCTTTGAAAAACCTGTTTTTGGTAAGTACTCGAACCGAATTTGACTTCATTCTGATAAAAAAAAAGAATATTGGCCAGACCTATTCCTACCGCCTCTCAAGCGGAAGGTGTATGTTCGAATCCGGGCTTACACCTCGTGAGTTTTTCGGAATGTATGTGCGAAATTTAATTTGAAATTTGAAGAAAAACGTGAAAAAGTGAGGAAACCTGCACACATGTGCAAAGTAATTTACTGATGTACCTATGTGAAGTTTCCCAATCCATATTGCTACAATCCACTGGAGGCAATGGGAGAGGCCATTGTTAGAGGAGGCAGTGGGACTATATATAGACTTACTATTAATTTAATGCCGCCATTACTAACTCCGAGGGCTTTTACTACACCAAATGTCTCTTGACCTCCGAAACAAGGTTACGCCACTGTCTCCGGTTCTGTAAGTATCGTTAATCGCCAACATTGACTTGAAGTTCGCGCAGGATCACTTCCAAGGCGTCGCTTCAGCGTTACCTAGGTCGATCAATTGGTCTTCATCTCACTATTAAAATATATGGTTTCACAGCATTGCATGCAGCATTTATAAAAAAATTAGCGTTTCTTATGGTATCAATTTGTTGCTTAACATCAGACATCCATATAGACTTAATAAACCGTTCGAGTTCGAGCTTTTCAAACAAAGACAGACTTGGAAAAACGAGAAATACTAACCCACGTTTATTGCTAACGCAATCATGAAATAGGATATTAGTCGACTATCATTGTTCACACGCTGTGGTCTTCGAATTAAACAATACTCAGCAAACGGTACAGTGAAACAGATCAATACCGTTAACACTACTAACAAAAAGTGATGAAATCTAATTCCGCTTCCATACAATCGAGCACAAGAGGTAGCAGATGCGCAAGGGCAAACAAAAGCTTACATCTGTAATACGCAATCATAATACATCTAATTTTACACGGCGGCAAAAAGCAAGGGATGAAGCTGTATACCAACACCAACGAGTTTCAACTATTCAAGTAAATAAAAACTGGTTGTAATTCATAGTGGATTACAGATAGATGAAGTACTTCCTTTGTTGCTAGGGATACAGCTCTTCGCGCCCTGATCGACAGATCTGATAATTTGAATATGGAAAGGCATCCAAGCGTATTCCGGGGCTGCGTGCGCGCAGATTTTGTCGGTTATTGAATATTTCATTTGGGGCGAGATATTTTTTGCTGGTCATACTAGTTTTATCCAACGTTATTGATTACATCAATGATTCCCAAAGTGGATATCTGTATCGACCCTACAACCTGAAAAGAGTCCATGGTAGCGCAAAAAAATTGTGGACGCCTTGATGTAAATAGGGGTCACTGAAAATGGATCCCATCTAAGCAGGTCATGACTAAAAATGTTGACTTTTTATATAAATGGAATAATCCACCTCTATTTTTAAGTTTCTCACTACCGTCACTCCTATATATAAATATTTTTTTAGGATTAAAAAGTTGTAAACAAAGAAGAGGTGACTGTAAATGTTTTTCTTCAGATCATAATTATTTTTTTTTACATTAATGACTTTGCCTTCGCATTTAGCCGATGAAACGGTTCGGAAAACAGAATTACAGATTATGGAAGAGATACGGAATTTGAATGAAAATGACATGATGGGTTGGCTAGGTGTACCTATATAGCTATATATCTACCCACCTACCCAACCCATACATACGAAGGTATATATCGACATACATATTAAAGCTTGATATTATTATTTTCTATAAAAATATGGTCAGTACATTATAAACATCTTTGTTACATGATGAATACAATAAATTTGTTATGGAGGTCGGGAATGGGACACTGATTGCCAGGAGTTCAGTTCAATTTCAGGATCTTGGTCAATTGAGGGGCAGGTAAAGAAGATATGATTCAATAAAGTAAAACCTGACAGACAAATGCCATTTACAAATGACACGATAATAATTATGTTATTATTTTATAAAAAGTTTCCGTTTAATGTTTGAAACCACAAAGAAGCAGATTTCTTTTCTTTGTTTTTGCCCTTTGGCAAGTCTGAAATAAATTAATAGAAATTTTCGTTTAATCTTTATAGAATACTACGAGTAAACAAAACGCAATAATTACATGACGTAATAATCTTAAATATGTTTGAGTTTATAAACCACTGTATTTCTTAAATTGCTTTCCTTACAAAAAGAGTAAATGAAATGGCGCCTGATAAAAGATCCAAAATTTTCTTCCGTCTTTTTTTATGATACCAGACGGGACGAACAAATCGTGCGCCTAGTGGTACGCGCCACACCTCTTCATAGCAGTTGCAGTACCACTCAGAGCTCTGAATCATAATTTGACAAGACTTACGTGCCTGTAATTTCACCAGCACCAGCACCCTTCAAAACCTCTTTCACGAGGAGCTCTACGGCTACTAAAAAAGTCTACTGCTAAAAAACGAATAAATAACAGCTGTCAACACACATTTATAATTAATGAGTTTGTAAAAATTCAATTTTAAAAAGATGGGGTCTACATAAATAGAAACTATCGTGGACTACAAGACAAAAAAGATTGGGGGCCTCTAGACTGCTTGAACCTATAGAACCACTCGGCTACTAACAACCTCATTAATAATTGAATAGCACTGAAACCGACTTATTGGAACTAAAAATCTTATGCATAAGTAGAATAAAAATAATTCCTCTATTTATCAGAAAGTTAAAAAATCTTGCAACTTATACAGACTGTAATAAAAACTCATAAATAATATAAATAGGGTATACACAATTGTGGCGCAATGGTACGAAATGTTTTTCTTCGAATTAATACTATTATTTTACTAATATTGTTTCTTATACTTAAGAAAGTTCGAGAGAATATCGTCAGCGTTTTGTAGAAAGGGCAATTTCAGTTTTTCACAACTGTTTTAAAATATTTGCGTCCTGTTTTAAATTCAATTTTAAAACTTAAACTTAATTAAAACCAAAGTTGAACTTTAAAACAGTACGTAAATATTTTAAAACCTAAAACATGATTCCTTGAAAAATTTTTCGTAATGGCGCTTTCAACCTTTCTTCAAAACACTGATGATGTAATCATAATGTATAATAATAAAGTTCTTAAGGCTAGAGTGCGCAATTAAAAGAATAGGGGGCTTCTGACGAATGTAAGTGAAGCAAGAGAGGTTTGCCAGAATCATGTAATGTGGCGGTCGATAATCTCTGCCTGCCCCACGGGAAGTCTAAAGGCGTGAGTATTTCTATGTTTCCTTACGTGCATACGGCCATCAAGAGTCGTAGTCGGAACTTTTTAATAAACGCTATAAATTAATTAACACGTCAAATTTGGTTCCTTTTTCTGTTTTCAGTACGCTGTACTGAGAAGCCTCTAGAATTTTACTTTGACCTTTATTCTTCCACACCAACGTAGTGTATTCTTTTGTTCTTTACACTATATAGGTGGTGTATAGGGAGTAATATTGGCACTATAACCTTTTTTGTAATTAACCCAGCTCAGCATCCTTTAGCATTTCTACAATAAAAAACTTTCATTCGTTTTAAAATACTACTTTGTTTCATTCGTTTTAAAATACTACTTTGTTTGTTTTAGGAACCACTTTATTAAGTGATTCGTAAATCCTAAAAAGAAATTTTGTTCTTTTAAAAATAAAGTTATACTTTCGACAACAACTTTTTTCTTTTAAAAATAAATTTATTATATCATTAACAACTTTGATTTTTTTTAAATCAACTTTTATTATTAAAAAATAACTTTTATTGTATTAAAAACAACTCTCAGAAATTGAAGTTGTTTTTAATGATAAAAATGGCCTCGTGACGAAATTGTTTCAACGTCAAATACCAACCTGCATAGAGAAAAATTTTTGCACTTCCCCATAAGTCGTAGAGATGATTCAGTGTTAAGAAATATCAGGTTAATTTACAATAACCATATTATTTAAAATGGGTACCAGCTCCACTTAACCCGTCATCTGATCGCCTCTTTCGCACTTGCAATTTATGTACTTCGAATAAACTTGTGCATGTGCTTGTGTGTTAAAATGACAGATTTACCAACGGCCAATAGTCACCTGGGGTGTCACTTGTAGGCGGGGCCTGCACCCCACACAACATTCGATCATAAAATTGTCGCTTTGTACAAATAAGCCAGAATGAAAACAGAAAATAAATATGCTGAAGGAAATAACGAACTAGCGAAAACCTATCCAAATCGTCTGCTTGAAAGTAAAACCACATAACGTCCACTTAGAATGAAAACCTCGCATACGCGTTTTCTCATAGTTCGTTTTTACTGATTGTTGTTGAAGAAAAACTTATAAACTTCTTGCTCAAATATATTATTAAAGTAATATAGTATCTGAAAGAGGTATAATTTAACTAATTAATATGCTAACTACAAACATTATTGCGTTACCACATTTTACACCACATTTTTATCTTCGCCCTGAAAAATTACGTACGAGGTATTCACTCTAAAACGACGATAAGTGATATTTTTCACATCCTCTCATCATTTCAAAGCCTCGAAATTATATAGCTGTGGTTTGTAGCCTTTTTTATTGATGACTTCTACTTGCAACCATGATTTTTAAAACCGCAGCTGCGTAATTTAGAAGCTTTATGTGAAAAATGTCGCGTATATTGTGTTACCTTTAAGCAGACGACGTATAAAAACTATTTTATTGGATCTCAATCTCATACATTTTTATTTTCAAACAAACCAAAATTTCGGGCACTTTACAGGTACCATGATCACAACTAAGTGATAGGTATAGTATTACATAATTTAAACCATCCTATTCTGAATTATACTTGCAAAATCAGAAATAAGACTATTTTTTGCGGTCTAAATCGCATTTTTTCGTCAAACAAACCGACGTGTCGAGACTTTTACATGAAATTAAAAATAAGGCATTTAAATTAATAACATTTGTTATTACAGTGAAGAATAGTGTAGTTTGCATTAATATTAGACAAAACTGGTTGATCACTTTAGCACCTC